TAGTTCCAGGACAGCCTTCAAAGCCACAGAGAAACCCTGTCTCAAAAACAGAAACAAAAACAAAAACAAAAACAAAAAAAAAAACAACTTTCTATAAGAAGCACATAGCTACGGAAGTAGCTGTTGAATCTCTGGGTGAAGAGTGGTCAATCAGTGATGGGAACAACAGACAAGCTTCTTGCATGAAGCAAGGTATCATGATGCATGGTGGGGTGCACCTGCTGTTGAGTAAGTGCATTCTTGTTATAGATAAAGGAGAACTGCAGAGAGGAAGGGAAGTCTGTTTGAGGATACATTGCGGGTGCCAATCTGAGTGTTTTCCACTTGGCTTATTGTAAAAACAAAGTGGAGGGTGGGTATTCCTAGACTTGAAGGATAAATACTACTGTGGCTCTGAGGTTAAAGTTGGAAAGAGCTAGCATATTCTGAAAACTTTTTAGTCTCTCTAAAGATGATGTCTGCCAGTATATTGTTTGAAAGCCCTTAGACAGTGAAGGTAAGCCCAGGACCAGGGCTGGAGAGATGGCTCAGAGGTTAAGAGCACTGGCTGCTCTTCCAGAGGACCTGAGTTTAATTCCCAGCAACCACATGGTGGCTCACGACCATCTATAATAAGATCTGGCACCCTTTCTGGCAGGAAAGTACATGCAACCAGAATATTATATACATGATAAGTAAATAAATGTTTTTAAAAAAAAAAGCCCAGGACCAACCAAGGTACCCAAGATTCTGCATCTTGTTACTCCCCATGTCCTAAACACCAACCCTCTACTCTGAACAAACAGTACCCTAAGAAAAATAATGAGGGAGCTGCACAATAAACTTGGTCAAGGGAATGAAGGAAGTCAAAGACTCCAGGAACAGATCGACAAGAGACATGAGCTGTCCTCACTGAGAGTGTGTGCTTCTCGGTCTTCTCAAATCTTTTTTTTTTCCCTGAGACAGGGTTTCTCTGTGTAGTCCTGGCTGTCCTGGAGCTTGCTCTGTAGACCAGGTTGGCCTTGAACTCAGAAATCTGCCTGTCTCTGCCTCCTGGGTGCTGGGATAAAAGGCGTGTGCTACCACAGCCTTGCTTAAAAAATTAATCTTTAATCATAATGGATAAATGATCAGACTGTTTTTAAAAAATTAATATAGAGAGTTTAGGAGCCAGACACTGTCACACTTGAAATTCCAGCACTTCAAATGCAGAGGCAGGAGGATCAAGAATTCAAAATTTGGGCTGGAGAGCTGGCTCAGTGGTTAAGAGCACTGGCTATTCTTCCAGAGTACTGGGTTCAATTCCCAGCAACCACATGGTGACTCACAGCCATCTGTAGTGGGATCTGATACCCTCTTCTTGCATAAAGATGTACATGCAGATAGAATACTGATACTTAAAATAAGTAAATCTTAAAAAAAATTCAAGATGTGCCTTAACTCTAGTGATCTAGAGTGGACTAGTCTGGACTGCTGTTTACCGAGAGGGGGGGGGGGGGGAGAAGGAGAGAGAGATTAGGGAGAAGAGGAGTTGGATACAGGTGGATTTTAGAGAAGTGATATGTTAACATATTAATGGGAAAAGTCTAGTAGAAAGGAAAGAATTTATGGAAAAGTGGAGAGTTTCAAGAATAGTGTTCTTGAGAACTGGCAAGACTGGTTGCTTCAGGACTCATTGTGAGCGGTTGGTTCTAAAAACATGCAAAGATAGTTCATCTTTAACAGGTGGTCTTGCTGGGCATGGTAGCACATCCCTTTAATCCCAGCACTTGAGGAGCAAAGGCAAATGGATCTCTGTGAGTCCAAGGCCCGCCTAGTCTACATAGTTCCAGGACAGTCTTAATTAAAGCTACTTAATGAGAAGAAAAAAATTAGCCTTAATAATTGGGTTCTCATATGATATTTCATTTTTTTCCCCAGATGGTACCGGGCCCCTGAGTTATTGTTTGGAGCTAGGATGTATGGTGTAGGTGTGGACATGTGGGCTGTTGGCTGTATATTAGCAGAATTGCTTCTACGGGTAAGTCCCAAATTCATATATACCCTTAAGTATGGTTGATAAAGTTCTCATAATTTTTAGGAATTATCTTTTTAATCATAATCCTACAGCAAGAAATTGATAAGCAAAGTCAGTTTGTTAAAAAAATTTTCAACAGGTATGGCACATACAATCCTAGTGTGTGGGAGGCTGAGACAGGAGGACCAAGGTGAGCCCAAGACTAGACATAGTAAAATTCTGTCTCATAAAACAAAGCCTCAGCGACTTGGGTGGAAGAAGCAGAAGAATTAAAAGTTTTAGGCCAATTGTATAGTTATTTTCATATTGCTGAGACAAAACACCTGACAAATCACATTGAGGAAGGGTGGCTGCGTTTTTTTTTTTTTTTTTTTGGCTCGAAGCCTGAGGGGATAATCGGTTATGGCAGAGAATGGCAATGGAAGCCTGAGAGGCTCTTTGTCACATCTCATCTCTAGTCAGGAAGTGGAGAGACAAATGCTGGTGCTCTGCTCCCTTTTATGTAGTCCAGGGTCCGCCCTTATAATGGTACCACCCACATTAGGGTGGGTCCTCTCTCTTCAGTTAACACAGTTTAGAAATGTAAGCATTGCAGCTCAGATGGAAAGGTATCCTGGCAGTCAGGAGCCAAGAAATACCACAACATCATTGTAAACATAGCAGCTCACAGCCCTGCTTCAGGGAAAGGTTTCCCAGGAAGTTGTTATAACTGCTCTGCTCCACTATGCTGTAGAGAAGTGTTAGAACTCTGCTCAGCACCCCCCACCCAGTCCTGCTGTGGTGAAAGTTGTTGTAGTTGGTCTCCTGTTGGTGTAAGTATCACACCACACAACAATCCTCACTCAAGAGGATTTATTGGGAAGGCAGAATCCAGAAGACTGGCTGCCTCTAGGGTAAGAAGCAGCAGCAAACTGAACAGGGTACAAAGTTTATGTGTGGTTTCTTTGGGTGGGTTGGGGGGAGAGCTTTCCAGGGTGGCTTGGGATTGGTGAATTTTTGTGGTCTGATTCTGGGGCCAGATCAGGAATTGGTGGAATTCTGTAGCCTGACTCTGGGGCAAGCTCAGGGATTGGTAGTTTCAAGTCCTGGCCCTGGGGTCAAGTCAGGGTCAGGGTGTTCTCTTTTCCTTTTTGCCCTACAAGAAATTCCCTTACAGTTTTATACTCAAAGGCTTGTTTGCTTGGTGAATCTACATTCCACTAGGCCGACAAGATTAACCATTACAGAGGCTGGGAAAGCAACTCAGTTGATAAAATGTTTTCTGCACATGCACGAGACATTTCTGAATTCTTCCTACTAGAGCTTGTACCATCTCTGGGCCCAGTTAGAAAACAAAGTACACATTAGTTTGCTCCAGGACCAAAGTGTGGTGGCTTACACCTGTAATCCCAGCACTTGGAGGCTGAGACAGAGAATCACCTTGAGTTTGAAGTTAACCTGTGTTACAGAGTGAGACTGGTCCACCCAATCCCTCACGCTTTTTCCTCACTCACAGCTATAGTGGGATGGAGACAAGGAAGGGTTGGCTAATGAGTGAACTAATCCTAAGATTATCAGATACAAGTAGCAATCATTATTGCTGACCACTGAGATCATCCAGGAAGAATTCCATCGATAGGATCTAGACACTGTTCAAAGGCACAGCTGAGAATTGGATGGCAGCAAAGTTGCTTTGGGTCTCTTCTGGTAAATCTGCTTTTGGGGTGCTGAACTGATGACTCGGCACTTAAGAGGACCTAGAACCCAGCACCTGGTACATGATAGTTCACAATCACCTATAACTTTACTTCGAGGGAATTTGATACCCTCTTCTAGCTTCTGAGGGTACCAGGTATAAATATGGTACATAGATATACATACAAGTATACCCTTATACATAGGAAATAGTAAAATGAAAATTTAAGGTCTGCTGTTTGGATTATGTTGGAATTCTGCTCTGGGGTGCTGAGGGAAGCTCTTCAAAAAGTGTGTTTAGTGCATGATGTGAAATTCCCAAAGAATCAATAAAGCCTTAAAATGTCTGTTTCTTACTGTCAGGTTCCTTTTTTGCCTGGAGATTCAGACCTTGATCAACTAACAAGAATATTTGAAACATTGGGTACACCAACTGAAGAGCAGTGGCCTGTAAGCCTTTATGCATTCTCTTTAAAATGTAATTATGATTCTGTAAAGTTTGTTTGCTGTATCTGAGCACACCTGTATAGCTAATGAAGGAAGAAATGGAATAATTAATTAGTGCTAAAGGACCAATGCCTTTCCCATACTGGATAAGTGCTCTGTCACTGAACTAATTTAAAAAGCATTCTCTTAGTTGGGTCTGGTGGCACTTTTTATAATCAGGAGGCAGGAAGAGCTTTGGGAATTCAGGCCATCCTGGTTAACGTAGTGAATTCTAGGCCAGCTTGGGCTCTATACTGAGATCCTGTCTCAAAAAAGTAAATAAATAAAAATAAATTACCCTCTTTATAAAACTGCAGGTGGCTGGGTGTTGGTGGTGCACACCTTTAATTCCCAGCACTGGGAGGCAGAGGCAGGCAGATCTCTGTGAGTTTGAGGCCAGCCTGGTCTACAGACCAAGTTCCAGGCCAGTGTCTAAAGCTACAAAGAAACCCTGTCTCGAAAAACAAAACAAGCAAACCCAAAAACTAGACCAAAACAAAACTGCAAATGGCAATGAAAGGAAATATACAAAGAAAACATTAAAATAGTGACCTATAGCCACCATCTTATGAGTCTTTCCTCAACCCCAGTGTTCCAGGTTAATCACTGCCTTCAGTTGATATAAAGCTGTCCTATCAGTGTGCACTCGAAAACATAATAGAATTGCATTTTCTTTCATTCATTCATTCTTTAATAAAAAATGAGGGGCTGGGATGTAGCTCAGTGAAAGACTGTATTTACTGTTAACATGTTCAAAGCCCCCAGCTCATTAAAAACCCTCAAACAGTAGCAGGATTGCTCTGTTGTTCTTTAATCTTGTGTTTTTCCACCATCTTGGCCTCCAGTTTCTCTGACTGGCCTGGGACTTAACTACAGAGACTTTGAGCTACTATAGAGATCTATCTACTGGATGTTTGTCTAGTTCTGGGATTAAAATTGTGTGCCACTATGCTGTACCACTTTCCTTTTTTTAGTGGCTGAATAACATTCTGCTTTATGGACATTTATGTTAGCTACTCACTATCTAGATAAACTAGCTGTATTTATTGGATTAGTAGCACAATTTAAATATTTCTGCTTTTTATGATCATTTTATTTCAAAAATCAATTGTGATACATCTCTCAAGTCCCAGCTACTAGAGAATGAGCCAAGAGGATTGCTTGAGCTCAAGAGTTTGAAGCCAGCCTGGGCAAGTCCCATTTCTTTTCCAGAAAAAGAGAAAGATTGATTTTACATTGCTAAATTACATATTATAGTTTAATAATCTGTTATCAGGCTAGGTGTAAAGGTTCACACCTTTAATCTCAGCACTCAGAGGTAGAGGTAGGAGGATCTTTGTGAGTTTGAAACCTGCTTAGTCTACATAGCAAGCTCCAGGACAGCCAGGGTAACAAAGAAAGACTGCTTCAAAAAAACAAACAAAAAAACAAAACAAAACTGGGATAAGCAGTTAAGTTCTTCAGTGACATGTTCCTGAGAGACCAGGGAATGAAAAATAGAGAAGATGGGAAAGTTTGGAGTCAGGAGGTCTTGCACAAGTTGATGGCTCATGCAAGCAAGTTTATTAAGTTCAGCATTACCATGCAGCGCTCCCTTTTAATTCCAGCACTGGAGGGGTGGGAGGCTGGACAGAGGCAGGCTGTGAGCCTGGTTTACAGAATGAGTTCTAAGACAGGATCTAAACCTACACAGAGAAACCCTGTTTCAAAACAGAAAAAAGAAAAAAAGTTCAGCATCAGACTGGAGAAATGGCTCAGAGGTTAAGAGCACTGGCTGCTCTTTCAGAGATCCTGAGTTCAATTCCCAGCAACCACATGGTGGCTTGAAACCATCTATAATGTGATTTGGTGCCCTCTTCTGGCATGCAGGTGTATATGCAGGCAGAATACTGTATGCACAATAAATAAATAAAATCTTAAAAAAAAAAGTTCAGCATCTATATACAGTTTTTTTTGGGGGGGTGGGTGGAACAGAGTCAGCAGGAAGCCATCAGACAATGGGACAAATTCAGCAGGTAGCTGCCAATCAGTGTTGTACAAGAGAACACAGGATACCTCAAGTGGTTTCTGGACTGAGTGCTCAGTGGCCTTGGGACTGAAGACTCCTGTTTGTTCAGCGGGTTAAAATCAGGTACCCAGGAACTGAAACCCAAGAGGGTCCTTGCCAAGTCTGTCCCTGTACCTTTTCTTCAGGGCCTCTGTTCACCTGGTTTTCACTAACAATAGCAACAGTCTGTCACCTCTTACTCAGATTCTTTGGGTTTTTGTTTTTGTTTATTTTAGTTTTTCCAGACAGGTTTTTTTTTTGTTTTGTTTTGTTTTTTTGTTTTGTTTTTTTTTTGTTTGTGTGTTTTTTGTTGTGTGTGTGTGTGTGTGTGTGTGTGTGTGTGTGTGTGTGGTGGTGTTGGCTTTCTTAGAGCTAGCTCTGTACACCCAGCTAGCCTCAAATTCACAGATCTGTCTGCGCCTACCTCCAGTGCTTGATATTAAAGGCTGTGCCACTCCTGTCTGGCACTTCTCAGATTCCTTTTTGTTTGTTTTCGAGACAGGGCTTCTCTGTATTGGTTTGGAGGCTGTCCTGGAACTCCCATCTGTAGACCAGGCTGGCCTTGAACTCACAGAGATCAGCCTGCCTCTGCCTTCCGAGTGCTGGGACTAAAGGCGTGTGCCACCAACGCCCGGCTCTTCTCAGATTCATAAGGTTGAAGAACTTTTGACTTTTTGTTCCCATTGTGACCCCAGGTTCTGAGGAGTAAATAAATGTTAGAAAAATGAATTTGGGGGCTATTGACATGGCTTAGTGGTTAAGAGTGCTTACTGCCCAAGCAAGAGGTCCTGAATTTGAATATCCAGCACCTGTGCAAAAAAAAAAAAAAAAAAAAAAAAAAAAAAAAAAAAAAAAAAAACAACACAAA